AAGATGAAGAAGGCCAACAAAAGGGCCAAGGAAGATGTGGGCAGCTGTGGGAAGGAGCAAAATGTCCTGAGCATGTTTGGAGCTTCTCTCCAAACCCAGAGCAGGGAGTGCTCCAAGCACCTTCCTCTGCCCAGCTCTGGCTGGAGCAATTGCACCCAGCCACAGGCAGAATTAGCACAGCTGTTTCACAGATCAAGGCATCCTGGAGCTGAACTGAAGACTTCAATGAAATAAAGCAGGATGTTTGTTTAACGCGAGCCTGACACCTTCATTTTTATTGTGAAATCTTCCACTTTACCAATCCAAATTTGAGAGTCGGGGAAGCCCCAAAACAAACCTGCAAGGAAACCACTTAAAAATCATCACACACCAATAATAGACTAAATTTAATTCCGTGTCAGGAAGAGATGAAAAAGGGCAAATATAATGGGAACCCACTGTTTCACACCAGCTTGTGAAATGCCCAGCTGAGTCAGGGAGAGAGGACTGTGCAGGGATTTACTGCCACTATGACTCCTGAATAAAAACCCAGCACTTACAGCATCACACTGGTTTGGTTATCTTTTAATTTACTGTGTTTTTAAATCACCCCTAAATCACCACATTTTCACTTCAAAGCCCAAACCTCAGTTCTTTTGTACCTTACAGCAGCACCTCCTGCACACTGTACACATGTACCTGGTCCCCTGAGTGCTTCCCATCATAAATAGGGTGATTAGAGCAGCTCTTCACTCACAGCTCAGGGCCACACTGTACCAAGCCCTGGACAAACAAATAGAATAGCCTCTGTCCTGGGCAGCTCCCACCTCATTCATCTGCTCCTGTTCACATTTATCTCACTTCAACAAAGCAAAACCAGTTCCTATTCCTGTGCCTGCTGCAGCACTGAACATGACATTAGTAGTTAACAGCAGCTTTAACTCATTTTGTCTAATTTGAAATCTCAGATTTAAAAAAAAAAATAAGTTTTCAGCAACTTTTTCTTTCAGGAAGTTTCAAAGTTAGTGAGATCCATTTAAAAAACAGAGACAAAAGGCCCAAAGGGCATGGACTGAAAAAAAAAAAATTAATACATAGAGGCTGTAAGGGACTCATATGACAAATGTAACTGAAGCCAGACCACTGAATGAGTAAAAACCATCCAGCAAAAAAGATTGTGTGATGGTAAAAATGAAGTGTGATAGTCCTGTCACCTTTGGGGCTTCAAGGGATGAGTAATGAAAAGTCCTGGATTAGAGCTCATAGAGAACAGGGCTGAAAGGGATCTCCAGAGGTTATCTAGCCCACCTCCACACCCCAGAGCAGGAGCAGCTCCACAGCTATCATACCTGACAGATGTTTTTCTAACATATTCTTAAAGACCTGCAAGGATGGAATTGCCACAACCCCCATAAGCAATCTAATGGTATATTTCATCCTAGAAAGTTTTTGCCACAAAAGTAAATCGCACTTGCTGCAATTGAAGCCCATCCTTTCTCACCTCATCCACCATGGACAAGGAGTGTTTTCCTTTCCCTGTGCAGAAGGAGAAAAAGGCAGGAATGTTGTGACAGACTCAACCACCAGGTTCTAATTTTTGCCACTGCTGCTCCCTCTACTCTATTTGGTTTGTAATCTGAGTTTTTGGATGGCATACTAAAAGTAACATGTGGTAGCAGGATAGAAACTTTAACTGATCTGTCCTGTCTAGAAATGGTTATTCTGGAACACAGGAGGTCAGGGACCTGTTGGAGTCAGTCCAGAGGAGGCCACAATGATGCTCAGGGGCTGGAGCACCTGTGCTGTGAAAACAGCCTGACAGAGATGAGGTTGTTCAGCTGGAGAAGACCCTGGGGGACCTTCAAGCCCCTTCCAGGGCCTAAAGGGACTCAGAGAGCTGGAGAGGGACTTTGGAAAAGGGCAAACAGCCATGGAACCAGGTGCAACGGCTTTCAATTGAAGGAGGACAGGTTTAGCTGAAGAGGAAGAATCCTTCCCTGTGAGGGGTCACAGGCTGCCCAGAGAAGCTGGGGCTGCCCCTGGATCCATAAAGTGTCCAAGGCCAGGCTGGAGAGCGCTTGGAGCAACCTGGGATAGTGGGAGATGTCCCTGTACATGGCAAGGGAGTTGGAGTAAGATGAGCTTTAAGATCAATTTCAGCCCAAACCATTTTCTGGTTCCATGTGGATCCCCTCTGTAAAGATGAAGGGAGCAGCATGATTCTTCCTCCATGACCACAGAGCTGGTAATCCTGATAGAGTATGGAGTCCAGCCATTCTCATCTCTCTGACCCTTTCAAGTGACAGGCTCTTGCGAGTAGACAACACTAAAAAATGGGAAGGGGGAGAAACAATAAACAGAAGAGAGAAGCAGCTCTTGACCATGTTTTCAAGAGACAAGTCTCTAGGCAAACACAGGGAAAAAAACAAGTTCTCCAGTCAACTGAAAGCTGTTGGCTTGATGCAGATGCTGCCTGGGAAATGACAATGGACTGTGTTAAATAGAATGTCCTATTTGACCTGCATTATTATGGCATTAAATATGAGTCAAGCAGGCTTTTGAGAGCAAGGAAGCAGGGGCTGGTGAAAGATAGATTTTCTTAATAAACACAAAATTATAAGCCATTACTTTCTGGATATTTATTCAAGACAGTAACACCACAGGAACGAAAGCTGTGGGGGTCTTTATATTCGTTTGGTGAGCTCTGTTTGTGCACTCAAATCCAAAGCTTCAGATCTTCAGGCTGTTCTCCCCAAATACATGGGCAAGCATCTTTTCAGGATGAGAGCTCAGATTTTTGCTTTATCACACCACTCTGATAGCTAAGGTCTTTCTAAAAACTACTAAATATTTTGGAATTCATAACACCAGTGCAAGCACTACCAACAGGAGAATTCCTAAGGGTATCTCTGACTCAAACAGTACTTTTTTTGTTGTTTATTAATCCAATGACCTGCTCTGTTTCCTAATGCCAATTAAATATCCAAGAAAAGAGATGAAGGAGGGATGTAAAAGTTGTTCCACTTCCCTTGTGCCTTCCAGCCAAAAGCTTGTCCCCTTTTCTGAGCCTTTTATAGTCTAGGCAGGTCTCACCAGCATCACCAGCCAGGGGAGAGCTCTTGCCTAAGGAACTGTCTGCCTAAACTCCTCAATTTATTAGAGCTTACAGACATCAGGAGCAGAGAGGTGCAGCCAGCAAAGGTAAGTTGCAGAAGAAAGAAAATAAAAACCATTCATTATACACACAAGGCTTGACTGCAGAATTGAAAGTTGTGCAAAACAAAGGGCCCTGATTAATCATCAATTATACCATGCATCTCTTAAAAGCCATACATTCACTTTACCCACCTGAAAGTCACAGCCAAGATGATGTGGTCACTCAATCTCACAGCTTCAAAGCACACAGTAACAAGCTTTCCCCCTTCTGGATCAGTTCCTTCTTCTGATCCCTTTAGGTGCATTGACTTATTGCAATTAGGAATACACATTTAGCAGAATCGAAATTAATGGACCTACATAAAAGGAGTGCCTGGCTCTCTGAGCAATCCCAATGCCAAACTCCTTAGTAAGGAAAAATTTCCATTCAAAGTAATGCGAATACAAAACACTTCAGTCTTGGCCCTTTGGGATTGATTTTTAGAAGAAAGCTGCTTCTATTTCAGTACCAAAGCAAGTAGCCAGACTTTGCTAAGTAGTAACTCTACTTTTGTGCTCACCAGGTGCTAAGACCTTACAAAAAATGTAAAAGAAAGTGGGTTTAAATGTGCTGCCATACCTGTGGTGTTCAATGACTGATCTTGAGTCTTCTGGGGGAAAAAGTGGGAGGAAGGAAACAAAAATCTCACTGTACTTGTAGTCTGCTTTCCTTGCTTTAAAGTGGACTTCTTTCACCTGTCCAAAAATCAGACCTGTCTTACTGTTCTATCTAAGAAAAAGACACCAAATGCCATTGCCATAAAGACATCGACAGGAGCTTGGATCCCAATCATCAAAATTTTAACTGGATCTCGAAATGCTCAAAATAAGATCTTGTTTAAAAAATAATTTTAAAACCCCCAAAACACAAGACTCCTGCCATGTTCTCTGAGCTCTTTTCAGTCAAGACTTGCCTTTGAGTCAAATGTGTCTCTTAATTAACAACTAGTCTTTGGAAAATTAACAAAGGATAGCAGTACTAAGGGCTATGGATGTTACAAAGAGAAACAAGAATAATGTTGTTAGCTTTTTGCTATGCTAGATGAGACATTACTGTGCCAGAGGCACAAGTAATGGAAATGTACTTTTATATAAATCTCCTCTCTTTGCTTGGATTATTTTAAATGACTCCACTACAGTGTATATTAACCTAGCCACCAACCTTCCTGCAGTCAGCTTTCTTTTTACAGTTTATCAGGAACACAACCACTGAGGAATCACCAAAGGATGGTGAATATCATCACACTCTCCCTTTGTTTGCTTAACACACAGAATGGCCGTGCAAGAAACTGAAAAAAACCACATTTGCTGGGAGGCAAATCTTCTGTCCCTGTCACCTCATACTGAACCCTTTGCACCAGATCTGATGTAGGAGCAGAGCAGCTCCCTTGGCCTTGGCCAAGGGTTACAATGGACAAGCATCTGAGAGGTGCAGCTGTTTTCTTCCCCTCTCCTGAATTGACTTCTAAATGCCTTTTTTCAGAAGCTGGAACCCACAATGTGGCTGGTCAAGTTAAAAGAGATCAGGGGTCAAATCAGAAACACACTCCATATTTCTCAAAAACACCTTTTACTGTTCCTTCCTACTCCATCCCAAAGCTGTGACCAAACACACAGCCACAGGGGTGAATACTGTCCTTCCTTTTCCCATATTAAGGTTACATGTTGCAAAGCTTCACTTACCCAGAAAAGTACAACTGTGTGAAAACACAACAATATTCAAAACCAAGAGCGAAATACCTTATCACTTTCCTTTCCAGTATGTTGCATTCAACACTTTTCCTAATTTTCCTACCCTAGAGCTCAGATAGCAGCATCCTACTTACTCTGTGAGGGTACAGGGGAAGTTCAGCATTTAGCAATGGTGAGAAAATTGGTTTAGATCCCTGAGGGAAGGTGCTGTAGAAGTGCATTCAATTCAGTTGTAATTCAATCCAGTTTGCTGGAGCTGAAAGAAAACAAAACACTTTCAAAGTTAAAGGGAGAGCCAGCATTTATTTTATTTTTATATGTGTGTGTACATATATAGACACACACACACAAAAATATTTTTATGCAAACATGTATTTATGTATGCTTGTATAATGTATTTTATTTTTGTGTGTTGGCATATATACAGACACCTACACCTACAAACACACACAAATTTTAGGAAGGGGAATTTTTAAGTAGAGCACTAGAAGGACAAGGTTAGCATGAGGCAAGTTCTGCCAGGCATACAGAAGCACACACTGCATGGAAAAGAATAGTTAAAGGCATTTTCTTCTACTATCATATTTTTTTTTCCTCAGGATATGAACAAAACAAAATCAAAGCAATTAAATCATTACCCTAAGGGAAAAAAAAAACCCAGTAATTGTGCTTAATCCTCTGAGTTACTCTAATGAATACACCTAATTTACTTTGACTAAAAGAAAGCATATTTTTTTCCTCCAAAGCTGACAAAGGTCAAATTCAAAGAAACCAAAGTAACTCCCACAGTACCTTCCTCAAAACAGAGGGAAAAAATAGCCCATGGTGTGCAATTATCTCAAGGTAAACAACCAGGAAGGCCCACTGCAAAGTCCACCTGTGATTTATAATGCTGAAGAGCTTCCAAAGGGAAGGGCCTGCAACAAGTTCTCTCCCCATTTTTACCTGCATAACGCAAACTGCAGGGCGGGGAGATGGGTTCTCCCACTTAAATTCTGCAGTACCCATATTTTATCCCTGCAAGTTCGGTTCACAGCATGAAAACTCCCCAGCTACACTAAACAAGGCAGAAGAACTGGTTCAGACAAGCAAATTACATTATCTGCTGCTCTCTGACCTCCAGCACCTTGGACAAATTGGGTGGAGGGAAGAGCCGCCGGCGCTGTTGCCAGCAGATCTCCCCGAGCTCCTCCTCAGCCTTGGCAGAATCAGAGGGGAAAATTCACACATGGATGAACTGTTCTGGAACAATCCTTCTAATGCAGCTGGCACAAACAGGCTCCCCTCCAACAGCAGGCAAGCGTGGCCCACATGTTTGCTGCTCTGGCACAGGATTCCTGCCGACAGCCCCGCGACGTTGCTGGAGGGAGTTACAGGCCAAGAGTGGTGCAGGGGTCAGTTAAATCAGGGAAAACATGAGTGGGTGGGGAATATCCAGAGCCAATTTCCAGGCCAGACTCTCTCAAGGGCACTCCTGTAGAAATGTGGGCACATTTCTGGGGAGTACCAAAGAGCTGAAGAAGCAAAAGACTCATTTGTGTCTGGGAGAGACTGCTGAGAAAGGACCCTTCAAGACTTGTTGGTTTAACATTTCAACACTCAGTGATGCACGTTTCCTCAGTGATAAAAATAAAGATGAGCATTTTCACCATTTTTGACATCTACCAACTCAACACATGAGCATTTCCACCATTTTTGACATACACCAACTCAACACATGAGCATTTCCATGGTTTTTTACATATACCAACTCAACACATGAGCATTTCCACCATTTTTGACATATACCAACACAACACATGAGCATTTTCACCATATTTTACGCATATCCACTAAACACATGAACATTTCCACAATTTTTGACACATACCAACTAAACACATGAACATTTCCACAATTTTTGACATATACCAACTAAACACATGAACATTTTCACCATTTTTTACACATACCAACTCAACACATATATTCCCTTGTTCCAAAGCAAAATGGCATCAATGCCTATACGCAGGAATTCAGGAAAGGACTTTACAGATGTAAAGTAAGGGCAAAGGCTGCCAAAGGTCAATCTCTGAGATCAAAGGGAAAGGTGCCATAGGGAATATCTCTGCTCAGTCCCGGAAACCTCAGCACTTTGCACTGAGATTTAGTGCCATATGTACTCAGCAGTACACGCAGTGTTGACAAAGCTTTTATTTTTAAACAAATAAAGGCCAGAAAGTACAGATTTCCTTAACTCTCATGGGCCTTCAATTATGCAGTGCTGCCTCTACCATGTAAGCATATTTCCAGAGCTTTAGCACTTGACATTTTGAGATAAAATGTCATGAATAGTATTTGTGTACCTCTCTCCATCTGTGCCACTCTGCCCCTCCACTTCCACTTGAAATCTTTCAAGGCATCAGATCACTGGTTCAAAGTATCCCCTTCCTTTACTTTCTTCACGTTTAGGATCAAAAACCAGACAGACTTTAATGGTATCTTGCAAACAGTTTGCTCTAAGTCTTATTTCAAGAGTTTTTCTTCTCTAGTCTGCCCACTACACTAAGCTGATCAATGATTTTTCTGCTCATTAAGTACTGCTGCTGGAATCACTCTTGCCCATCAGGAAGACTCTGCTGCCTGTTTGCTTCTCCTGTCTTTTCTCTTTCCAGCCCAGGACCACAACAATCTCTGAAAGAGATCAACGGCCTCTGCTCAGGTCAGAGCATTTTGGCCTTTATATTGTGCCAAACCTGAGAGTCTCTCAACTGGAGACTCCAAATTTCAGCTTCCCGTGCTTTCCACTCTGATCTGATCTCCTCGTGCTCATCCTCCTTAAATCTGTCCTCATTTGCCTCCTCTCCTGAGCAAGAAATAGGAGACACAAAATTTAATAACAATTTTCAGTGAACTTTTATATTGCCTTGGATGTGAAGCAGAGACATAAGAAAGTGTTTTGTCACGTTAAGCCAGTAAGAAGAGGGAGTTTGATGGTGTTGTGTGTGTCTGACTGGTTCCTCCACTGGCACATGGATTTATCACCAAACTGAAGCACAGTCATTAATTTTATCACACTCTTCTGAGCACACAGTTGTGGTGAGCCCACCTCCTGAAAAGTAGATTTCAGATGCATTTTCTCCACCTGAAGATGGAGAGAACCTATATCCCAGTATCTTATCTGATACAAATATGCTGCTTTCCAATTTCACTCTATCCTGTCTGTACTTTTATCTCGCTTTCCTCTAATTGTACAGCTCTTCCTGAAAGGTCAATTGTTCCTCATCCAGCTGATGGCCTCCCAGTAGAGTCTGAACTTATTATTATAAGCACCTGCCTTCTTTTAAGAGCTATGGTGAGGATGATGTTTGGCATTATTAAGATGTGATGTCCTGCCAAGGATGCCTTCACAACTGGAAGAGCTAATGTGACAGCTCTGAGCTTGGAGAAAAAATAATAATAATAAAAAAAAGTTGCTTTTCTTCTTGTCTAGTATGTGCCCTGTGCTGTCAGGCTGCACGAGGGGGCCATGCTCACACCTGTAACCCAGGCCCCTGAAGGAATCCCTCACAAGAGCGACTCTGCCTGCAAAGCAAACGGGAGCAGTTTGAAGATGGCATGTGAAAAGCTGCCTCGGGTCTTCCAGAAATCAGAACTCTTGGCTGTTCATCTCCTGAGAGCTGACCTGGGGCACAGGAAACCACAGTGCCTGTGGAACACGAAGCAATCACACTGAACTCTCCTACAGCCATTTGCATTTTCAACAATTCCTCTTCAGAGAGATGCCCTGTGCCTGGGGGAATATTTGCCTCTGTTCACAGCTGACTTTCATTTTAAGTTAGAATCTGTTGGCTCTTCTTTTTTAGTTGGCAGTGAAGTTGTGGCTCTGTTAGATAAATGTTCTTTTCTGTTGCTTCTTGTATAAAATTCCGGGAAGATGTGGCCTCCAACACCAAATGTGGTCCCAGAACACCAGGGCAGAAATAAAATAGTGTCACTATTATTGAAAGTGCTCAGCAAATCCTACTCTGAGAGCAGTTGCTGAATAAAAATGTTCAATCTGGCCAGGAAAAAAGTATGACATAAACTACAAATGTTGAATTATAAAGCTTGAAATTCAGAAATATGTATTAATCCTTCAGATTTGTTACCCTGATGTCTAGGATTAATTCTTTGGTTTTTGTTTTGGTTTGGGGATTTTTTGTCACATGGGGACTTTACTAAAGTGATGAATTTTAAATATAAAAAATAGCTGAGGACATGTGTAGAAGTACAGCAAAAGGAACATTTTATAGAAGGCAAAGACAAGGCTTTATGGTTTTGATTTTTTTTTTTCTGTTGGGGGGGTTCATGGGATTTTTACTTGAGCTCCTTCTGGGTATTTAAGCTCATAAATACTACTGAATATATTAACAACCTCAAAGTTGCTGGTCCCTAGAGTTAATGTAATTAACCACTGAAAGTCTTCGCTGTCACAAATGAAATCAGATTGTGTCACAGGAGGCAGCAAACCTCAAAAAAGCTGCTCTGTCCTCTCTAACTGAGGTGCAACTGAGCACTTGTTTCCATGTAAGAATGTTGATAGATGTACAGCCCACTGCTTTATTGAGAGAAACACTTTTAAAAGTAAAAATGGGGCAGTTGAAAATGCATTTGCTTCCTTAAAGACCCTCAGCCCTCCCATCCAGCAAGGCTCTATGAAAGGTGAAAAAACACTTGGAAATTCACCTAAAAGCCTCCTGTCCTACCACCACTCCAGTCACTACAGCAAAATACTTTGCAAACTTTTCATCTCAGCAGATGAAAGTTAATACAGATTAAGGGATTACATAATACTGGAAGAGGGTGGCCAATCAAGTTGTTTCTCAGAACAGGAGCTTTCATCAAATCGACAACTAAGTGGGAAATAGCCACCCTAGAAAGTATTAGGATTTCTAAGAGTCTGTGTTCCAATGCCACCTGTTCTCAGAGAAGCAGCTCATTTTGGTGCACACTGAAAATCCACATTGTCAAGCACAAGTGTAACACTTCCAATTCCTCTTCACACTTGGGTGCTGCAGGGTCAGTAGATCTGAATGTGTGCAAACAACAATAAAACTCAGAGCCCCTGAGGCAGCATCTGCTCCCAGCACGGTGAGAGCTGACAGGGCTCTCTGCTAAGGGACCTCACCCAGCAGAAAACATCCCATATCTGAGGGAAGATCTTAGCAAAAGACAAGTTCAAAATCCAA